AAAAAAATTATATATATATATTAAAATAATATTAATTAAAAAGAGATATTTGATTATTAAAATTATCTCAATATATAGTACAAATTAATTAAAGATAAATAAATAAGTTTATTATAATTTTTATATTAATAAAAAAAATTTTTTTAACTTAATATTAAGCTATTTTCTTTTTATATTAATTTAATAAATAATATTTTATTAATAAATATATTTTATTAAAAAGATAATTAAGTATTATATTATTTTTAAATAATTAAATAATAATTTTATAAATAATTTTATATTTTAACTAATAAAAAAATTTTTATATTTTTAATATTGTATATAAAGTTTCAACTTTTGTTAATATTTAAATTCAAATACTAAAGTTCAATGTCTTTTTGTAAAGTCATTAATAATTTCTTTAAAACTTTTACAACTTGATAGTAATAAATTTAAAAAAACATCCTTTTTATAAAAAATTCCAAAATGAAATTCTATCAAAATAAATATCAAACAATTTATTAACTTCATAAAAGCTATAATAAGAAAAGTAAGTTATTAGTTCAAGTTCTTCTGCTATATCTATTTAAAGATTGCTCTTAAGATTCTTATGTTTAGAGAAGAATTAGAAGAAAATATTATTATTTGACTATATCAAACAAAGAATATTCTTTATATCTAAAAAGTTCCTAATAATATTACAGTCATATATTATACTGCTATTGAATTAGAAAAATCTGTTTTTCATTGATATATTTACAAAACTAAAAATACAAGTACTAATATTTTTATCAATTGAAATAATTTTATTAAATAATTGAAAAGTCTTTTTAGCCTCTATATTATCAATAATACTTGCAAATCCAATTCAAAATCCCGTGACAAGTGAAAATTATATAATAATATAATATTCAATTTAAAAATCTTATAAGTCAAATCAATAATATGAAACTCTTGGATCAAGTTACTTATTATATAAATTACTTGAAGCCTTTAATAAAAATAAAAGTTAATTATCAAATTTCTGAAAATCTTAATGAAGCTATAAAACTAGCTATCCACTATAATATTATTATATTTGGATTAAGATATCCTATACTTGAAAATTATTATCAAAAAAAAAACCAATCATTAAAAAGAAATTGAGAATTCATATAAATGAAACTAAATCAAGTCAAAATATAATACAAGCCATTTATCTCAAGTAAAAAAAAAAGATATAATACTTTAAATGCAATAAAATAAATTACTTTGCTTGAGAATATAAGAAACTTGTTATCAAGACTAAGGTAATTATAATTGAAAAACAACTTGTTATTTTAAATATCAAATTTATCCATATAAAAGAGAATCAGAAATAACTACTTTAGTTTAATTAAAAGATTAATAGATATTTACTTAAATTCTATTGAATAATAAGGTTTTTAAAAATTTTATTGATAAAAAATTTGTCAATTAATAATAATTGTCAAAAGAATTAATCAAACTAAAAATGTGTCTCTAAATTATTTAGTATATAAAATTTTACAGATTAATTATATCTTTTTTGAAGAGATATAATTATTTATTTATTTATTATTTTAATAGGAATATAATTTAAAAAACATTTGGATCAAGTGGTCTAAATTGCAAAAAATCTTTGTAGGTAATTTTTTTTTAATCTTATATTTTAAAAAAACTTTTTTAATAGTAAGAAACATTTAAATTATATCTTTGTTTTTAATTTAGAAACCTATCTTTAAATCAAATCTTTATTAAAAACTGGTTAATAGCTAAAAGAAATTATTTCTATTAAAATAAAGATCAAGAAGTTGAAACTGGATCAATATCATATCTCTGGAATTTCTGCTTAAGTTTTAAATCTATAATGATATAATACCATTTTAAAAAAATATCAAATGTATTAAGCCAATTTTAATATTAATTGGAGAACTAATATTCTATTTTTTTTAAATAGACTCTACTATATTATTATTAATACTAGTTTCAACTAAACTAACAAAAATTCAATGTATAATTCTATTTTTATTTCCAGACACAAACTTGCTAAGATTTTTCCTAAAGAAGAACTATATACTATATACATTACCTAAAAAAAAAATATTCTTGAATAAATCAATTTTTCTTCAGAAAAAGTTATAATTATTAAGAAATTTGTTAATATTTTTTTATTAAAGCTATCTAATAAGTTGTTGCCTAAAAAAAAGATTGATCATACTATAGATTTGTTATCAAAAACCAAATTATTATCAGAATTCATTTACTATATATCCTATATGAAAATAGACAAACTCAATAAACAGTTAGCCAAGCTATCAAATAAATAATTTATTAGACTTAGCATTTTTTTTTGATGCTCTAATACTTTTTGTATACAAGAAGAAGGAATGTTAAGACTGTATATTGACTATTATGTTTTCAATAAAGTTACTATAAAAAATCAGTATCTTTTGTTCTAAATTAAAGAACTTATGAATTAGTTAACTAGAGCCAAGTATTTTAACAAAATTGACTTGTATTCTGGATATTATCAAATTTATATTAAAAAGAAAAATATATTAAAGATTACTTTTAGAATTATATATAATTACTATAAGTTTCTTGTATTACTTTTTAAATTAATCAATACTTTTGCAATATTTATAATATTAATAAATAATATTTTTTAGAAATACTTAAACAATTTTGTTATTATATATCTGAATAATATTTTGATTTATAGAAAAATCAAAAAAATTATTTGTAATACTTGAAAACTATTTTAACTATCTTGTAACAATACCAATTCTATACCAAAGCCAAAAAGAGTAAGCTGCTATACTTTAAAGTTAAATATATTGTTTATTATATTTTTATAAAAGAAATTATTATGGATCCTTGAAAAATTATCACTATTTAGGATCTGTGGATCCATAGTATAGTGGTTAGTGCTTTACAAGTCAGATTACAAGATATTAGTTCAATTCTATATAAAGGTGATTGAATAGAATTAATATGATATCTGGCACCATAATCAATTATATGCTGTTTTTCATAAGAAGCCATTTTATATACCAATCTAGTAGACATTGAGATTGTAACTTTCTCGTTAAGGTATCATGGTATAACAGTTATCTAGTTGGTATATAATAATCATTGTAAAATCTTTTTATATATAGGTTGTATAGATTCTCCTATATATGTCATATCCAATAAGTCTCATCTCGACTCTTTTTCAGAATTTCCTAATTTGGAGCTATTTCAATCCAATACTTGCTTAAAAGAAGTGGATCTTTGGGAAAGAATCTATTGAAGCTATAGGTGGTGACAAGGAGCAAGTATCTTCTCCAAGAGTCCAAACAAAAGTATCGAGATATTCAAAAAATTCTATCAACCTCTATAGGATAGATATAGCTCTCAGTAAATGGATTATAGATTAAATGATTTAAACTAGTGGCAAGCATTTCCTCTATAGAAATTCTATCTGACATGTTGGATCCACATTTAATGTACAATTCTTATAGTTGGATTTAAGATAAACAGTAAGCTATTAATATAACAGTTAATAGGCAGTATTAGTTATAGTTAAAACTGTCATTAGATATAATCAATACAAACAAGTAATTGTTCCAATTATAAAAGACACTTTATGTATATTATAGTATGCAAGTATCAATAAAGATTTGCATCATTGCATATTTATCTATAAAAAAAAAAAAAGATTATCACCATTTAGAATTGGCTAATATTTATCAATATATCAAAAGTCGGATTTTTTTAGAATTAACAAGTTATTATAAAAGTTTTATTCAAAAATTTTCTGCTCTTGTCATACTTTTTATCACTTTTCTGTATAAGGATAAAGAATTTGTATAAAATATTTCTAAACAAAAAGCATTTCAATAACTTAAAAAAACTCTTATTACAACTCTGATTTTGTTTTTATCTAATTCAAACAAGCCTTTTACTATTATCACAAATGCTTCTAATCTTGCTATTGAAGCTGTTATAATTTAAAACCATGAAAAGAAGAATAATCAGTTGTATACAAATCCAAAAAATTGTTATTAGCCAAACAAAATTACAAAATATATAAGAAGAAGTTGTTAACTATAGTATATATATATATCTAAAGAAATAATATTTTACTGTTATCACTAATTATATCTTCCTAAAATATATTAAAATTCAATTAAATTTGTTTAAATAACAAATTATATAGTTGAAAATCCTTTAAGCCAATGATTTCAAAGTTGTATATTGATCAGGAAAAACTAATATTATAGCAAATACTCTTTTCAAACAACTATATCTAGTTACTATCTTTATATTTGTCATTAAATTAGTAAATGATGAAACTTTTAAAGAAGAATATATCAATGATAAGTACTTTTCCAAAATCCTAGTTATCTTGAAAAATCTGATTCAAGTTATAAAAAAAGATAAAACTTACATCAAATATTTTGAATTGGATGCTAATCATATCTATTTGAAAAAAAACTACTGCCTAGCTATTCCTAAGAATAAAATATTGAGAAGTTATATTCTTAGAAAATATTATAACATTGATATTGCTAATATTCAGGTATTGACAAAATAGTAGATACTATAATGAGATCCTATTATTAATCCAAGATAAATAAAGACATGTGAAAATATATACTAACATGTGACCTGTATCAACAAAACAAACCTAGCTACTAACAATTTGCTATGGTGCATTTCATCTAAAGACTGAAATAAATTATCCAACTTTCAAAACCCTAAGGCTTTTTTATTAAAGTATATGGAGAAAAACTAATCCGTAAGAATGATAGAACAGATGATGTAGAACAAAAGTTATGGTTTAGATTTTTTAGTTAACTAATAAAGTTTTGAGTTTTAGGGATTTGAAAAGTAACAGTTTTCTTATATTTTTGTAAATTTTCTTATGAAAAATAGAATTTTCGGATATATTAGTTGTGTAACTTTCGTGTGTAACAATTTGTTATCCAATAAAAATACATGTAGTTTTTATAAGCATTCTCTATTATTTCGCTATGCCTCGACCATCTAAAAGAAAAGCTGCACACCAAAAAGTGTCTCGAGATAAGGAAGGCAGATTTATTAAAAGTGAACTTGATTTTGTTAATACAGAAGCTAGCACGTTAAAGATAGTGGAAACTGGATTGGATAATGATTTATTAAGCGAACAGTTTTGGGAAAATGATGAAATAAGTGATTGGGGAAGTGATGTCGATTCAGAGGCAGAACAAGATATTTGTAATAAACTTTCAAGAGATAATATTTGGTTAAAGTGGAGATCAGATGCCAATTTAAAAAAAAGTAGCCGTGGTCCTTATAAAATAGGAAAAATACCAAAA